TTTGGCTGATTGCTCTTCTCTTTGGCTTCCTGGGTTTTACCCCTTTCTCCTGCTCTTCCGGCCTGCTACTCTGTGCTATGCCCGTGCTTCCCTTGCTCCCGGAGACCCGGTCCCTCTCGGGAAGGTAACAAGGGAAAGTGTTCAGTGCAGATCAGTGAGTAAGCACAAGCCCGCCCGTGCCCACCTTGGGAGTGGGGAGAGAACTGCAAACTCACATAGAAAGGGGTGGGCCCGGGGGGGGAGTGGACTGGAGACAGGGATCTACCAGAGACAGTCGTGTTCTGTCTGATGTGCCTGCAAAATCCCAAAATTTGTTATTTTTAATTTTTATCGTGATGTGGGTGAAAGTGGACAGAGCAGATTCATTTTCCACACAGCAGTTCATACACATTTTATTTCATGACATTGACTGCAATTCCCCACAGTGCAACAGCTCTCTTCCCGCTTCCTCCCCGTGGTTACCTCTTCCCTGTGTCCTTCCCTCCCATGCACTCCCGCCCCCTGAGCTGTCTCCCTGTGCAAACACTGCCCTTCTGTTCTCCCACGATTGATCGCGCCAAGGAGTGTACCTACCTGATGTAAATGTTCACCCCATATGCCTGTCTGTTGTCCGGCTGGAAGCCACAGGAGTGAGTTCAGTTCCCGACCTGAGGGGTGACTAGGGGCCATAGTCTCAGGGGTCTCAGTAGGCTCTATCAGACCAGCAAAACTGGTGTTTTTTATGATTTTGAGTTTTGTTCCACATTGTTCTCCCCTCTATCCAGGATGTCCTGCACCGATCCCCTCCCTCAGTGGTTGACAGTGGTGGCCGGGCACCATCTAGTTCTTCTGGTCTCATGGTCCTATAGGCTGAGGATCGCATGGTCTACCAGTCCCCTTGGACTATGTTTCCATGCATCTTTGTTTTTCTTCATTCTTCTTTGCTCTGGATGAGGAGAGACCCATTGTTGGACCTAAATAGAACCCCTGGTTAAGGTCTTGTCACACTCCCAACAGTCATGTGAAATGACGGGGTGGCCCTGGGATAGAGTGGAGCTGGGGGGGCTCACTGAGAGTCCAGAGGGGCTGGAGGACGCGGGGGTCAGCAGCCGTGGCCTCTGTCCTCTCTGTGCTTAGCCCTGCGGCGGCTGCGGGGCAGCGGGGACGTGGTGGCCGAGCTGCAGGAGCTGGCGGCTGAGCGAGCCGCCTGCCGGGGCCAGCGGGCGCGGCGCCCATGGGAGCTGTTCCGGGACCCTGGACTGCGGAGGCAGGTGGCCAGCCTGGTGGTGCTGGGCAGTGCCATGGAGCTGTGTGGCAATGACTCGGTGAGGCCGCCGCGGCCCGGGCGCTGCTCTCTGGGCAGCTGGGAGCCATGGGAGGTGGCAGGCAGCCGGAGGACCTGGGCTCCTGAGCAGGCCCTGCCTCGCCTCTGCAGGTGTACGCCTACGCCTCCTCGGTGTTCCGGCAGGCCGGCGTGCCTGAGGACAGGGTCCAGTACGCCATCGTCGGGACTGGGAGCTGCGAGCTGTTGGCGGCTGTTGTCAGCGTGAGTCGGCCTGGCCGGCCGTCAGTGCGGGTCACCGGGGCTGTGGAGGGGTGCGGCCCGCGCTGGGCGACACGGTGAGGGGGGGACACGGAAACGACCGTCCATAGAGTTCTGTACTGTGTTCCAGCAGAAATGTACTGATTTATGTATTTATTTGATTAAAAGTATCCCTGTCTGTAAACTTATACCCAAATCACAAATAAAAATTTCAAAAAATAGCAGTAACAACAAAAATATCCCTGTCATTAGTTGCAGCGACAAAAGCATAATTTGTGAGCCTAGCTTGCAGGTGGGAGCTCCGGGGGCGCAGTGCCTAAGGCACTTGACTGCTCACCAGGAGGCTGGCGGTTCAAACCCACCAGCCACTCCTCGGAAGGAAGGTTCCGCAGTGTACTTCCGGAGCGATCCTGCCTCGGAAACCCAAGGAGGGGTCGCTGTGAGTCGGATCTGACTCAGCAGCAGTGAGTTTGGTTTTGGTTTTAGCTTGCAGGGATCATATACCCAGAGGGCCAATAGGCCGGGCTCGTTTCCTTCTTGAACCTGGTCGTGTGCTTCCACCTGAGCGGCCATTTCCCCGGTTACACTGGCTTCCGGTTACGTGGTTTCGTCCGCATGCGTGCTGCAAGCGTGCACTGCTGTTTTTCTTCCCACGGTATAGTCACTGATTTTGTCAAATTTTCTAATGTTTAAGCTATGGTATTGTGGCAGTTAATACTCGTGAACCTATTCCAATAACTGTTTTTGAGAATTTAGTAGTAATTAAGGAAAAAGCAAAAGGAAAAAACCAAACTCATTGCCATCGAGTTGGATCCGACTCATAGTGACCCCTCCTTGGGTTTCTGAGGCGGTATCACTATGGAAGTAGATTTGCCCAACCTTCCGTCCCAGGAGTGGCTAGTGGGTTTGAACCGCCAGCCGTCTGGTTAGCAGTCAGATGCCTTAGGGATTACATCACCAGAGTTCCTGATTAAGGAAAAGAAGAGAAATCAAAAAGGCTTCCGCTCAGCTACTAATAATGCTGTAACTAACAATGTTGGAATTCAGTGTAAAGGTTTTCTTTCTTTTTTTTTAATTGTCATTTGGGTGAAAGTCGACAGAGCAAATTCATTTTCCACACAGTAGTTCATACCCATTTTGTTTCACAACATTGACTGCCATTCCCCACGATGTAACAGCTCTCTGCCCACTTCCTCCCTGTGGTTACCTCCCCCCGTGAGTGCAGGAAGATTTTACAAAACAATTTTGTTATTATTCATATAATCTGAGAAATATTACTTTGAAGCAATTTACCACCCTATCAGGTGCACTAAGACTGAAGTTGGTAATAAACCCTGATGAGGATTCTGTAGGGTCCAGTATGGCAGGAGGCCTATGGGGGGCATGACACCATGCGTTGCCACGCAGGTGACTGCAGCCTTAGGAATGCTACTTGGTGAGCAGCTACGGCAAGCTCAGGGCCAACCCTCGACTGTCCCTGCCCCGTGGGGTGCCCTGGCTCCCGCAGGGACCCTCAGGTCCTCACTGGCACTCCTAGGGCAGTAAACCGTTCCCCGCTCCAGGGCACGCTGTTAAAATTTGGTCAGTTTAGTGAGCACCTGCTTGTTCCTGAGCTCCCACGCTGCTGTGTTGGGTAAGGAAATGGATAGCTTGAGTGATGGGTGAGATCCTGTAAGAAATTAACAACGTCCCAATCGCCTGAACAACCAATGCCCCCGCCCCTTCCCAGCTTCCTGACAGGACCCTCCCCAAGGGGCCCGGGGCTGCCCCACGGGTCGGTGACAGAGAGGGCTCCTTCTCTTACAGTGTGTGGTGATCGAGAGAGTGGGCCGGCGGGTGCTGCTGACGGGGGGCTACTGCCTCATGGCCTGCTGGGGGGGCATCTTCACAGTGGCCCTGTGCCTGCAGGTAGCTGGGGGGGGGCACAGGGATGTGGCCGGCAGCCTGTCCTCTGCCTCACCACTCCCTGTGACACAGCCTGTTTCCCTGGATGCCCTACCTCAGTCCCCCCAACCCAGAGCTCCTTCCATGGGGTGTCCTACCTCACCACCCCCTATGATCTGTGACACAGGGCCCCTTCCATGGGGTACCCTACCTCATCCCCATGAGACAAGGCCCCTCCCATGAGGTACCCTACCTCACTGTCCCCAACCCAGAGCTCCTTTCCCAGGGTGTCCTGCCTCACCACCCACCCCCTGTGACACAGGGCCTCTTCCCTGGGGTGTCCTGCCTCACCCACCCCCCCACCCCCCGTGACACAGAGCGCCTTCCCCTGGGCGTCCTGCCTCACCACCCCCTGTACCTGTGACTCAGACCTCCTGCCCCTGGGCGCCGTACCTGGCCATGTCCTGCATCTTTGCCTTCATCCTCAGCTTTGGCATCGGCCCCGGTGAGTGGGGGCCTCACTGAAGGCGCGGTGGGCAGGTGGGTGGGTGACGGGTGGGTGTGTATGTACTGTTACCTTTGTCGAGGCCCCTGGCAGGGTGGCCGGGTCTGGTCCCCACCCCTCGCCCCTCCCCTCTTCCAGCTGGAGTGACGGGGATCCTGGCCACTGAGCTGTTTGACCAGACTGCCCGGCCTGCTGCCTACGTGGTCTGCGGGGCGCTCCTGTGGTCTACGCTCTTCCTGGTGGGGCTGGGCTTCCCCTTTGTCATGGTAGGCCCACCTCTCCCTGACCCTGTCTGGCCCATCCTTGTCAGCAGGGAGGAGACCAAGATGGGTGGGGATGGGTCTTACCTGAGCAAGGTGGAACACGACCTTCATCACAACCTGGCAGGGGGCCTTCAGGGTGGGGCGGGCTCAGGCCACACCTGACTGGGGTCTCCTTTGCCCCACAGGAGGGCCTGTCCTGCTTCCTCTATGTCCCCTTCGTCCTCATCTGCGTCTGTGGGGCCACCTACACGGCCTTCTTCCTTCCTGAGACCAAAGGCAAGACCTTCCTGCAGATCTCTGAGGAACTGGACAGACTCAACTTCCCCGGCCGGACCCACGGGCCTGGGTGGAGGGACCCAGAGGTCATTCAGTCCACAGAGCTGTAACCCAGCAGCTCGCCCCAGCCCAGGGTGCGGGTGGCCACATCCCACCCACTGCTACCCATTCCTTTGTTTCCTGAGGGCCATGGCCTCTCCTCTCACTCACACCTGCATCCATTGGCTTAGTGAGCATTTATGGAGCACCTGCTGCATGCAGGCCTGCTGCCAGGTGCTTAGCAACTAGGGGTGAGCCAGGGAGAAGCATCCCAGGTGCTTGTCACCTAGAGGGAAGCAGCTGACAGGAGATACATGGCCGCCAGCAAGCAGGGCGTAGAGGCCACATCTCCTGCCCTCCTCTGACTTCACAAGCAGGAAACAGAGTCGCCATCAGCAGCCCAGGGCTGATTCCTATGAGGCCAGACATGCTGCCACCCTCCAGTCTTTTACCAACTCGGACTCCAGTCGTCCCTCCCACGGCGCTCACTGCTTCTCTTTTGGGTTCCATAATTTGTTGCAATAGCCACCCATACTCACGATTATGGGGTTTGTTAGGCAAGTAACAGGCTCAGGAATGTGCTCAGGAGGCAAGTCTTCAATCAGGACAGTGTGCCCTCTGACACCCCTCTCTGGTCCTTGGTCTCTCGGCCTGGCCTCTACCTCTACAGGCCAGGTAAGCCGGCCCCTATGGCTTCTGCCTCTTGGTTCCACTGCCGCCATCTCTCTGTCGGGGTGTCTCTCTGCAGTTCATCTCTCTCTGCCAGGCGTCTCTGCCAAGGAGGTCCAGCACAGGGATCTCGGGTCCAAGGACGCGCTCCACTTCACCTCCACCCTTGTCTCTTGATGGCAGTGAGATTCCCCCTTGCCGCATCTAATCATTTTAAGCCTGGTAGTGACAAAACTAACCAATCCCCAATTCAGACTTCTATACACCTTCTTTGCATGGTCCCACCTAGTGATCTGGTGGAAGTTACAAAGACTGTGGCTAGAAAAGCCATACCCAGCAATCCCCTGCACTGCGTCACCTTAATAGAGAGCTGCAGGTACAGACTCAGGGTGGAGAAAAACGCAGGGTGCGAGGGGCGTGGACGCTGGGGGCCTGACCTCGTCAGGGGATTGCTGAGGAGCTGATTTTTGACATATCAACTGTATCCAGGAATAATTTGCCTACAATAAAATGTATCAATTTAAAATATGTATTTGATGAGTTTGGACAATGTCTGTGTTCATGAAGCCCCCACGTGAAACGAGGTAGAACAGTGTCATCACCCCGAAAGCTCCCTCCCATCCCTCTGCAGTCAAGAAGGCACCCCCAGTCCTGGCCTCTTCTGAAACAGAGAGAGAGAGAGAGAGGGAGAGAGGGAGAGGGAGAGAGACTTAATGGAATTACAGTGTATACACTTTTGTGTCTGGCTTCTTAAAACTCAGGATGAAGTTCTTGAAATTCTTACATGTTGTTGTGTGTATCAGTACATATTCCTTTGTATACACTTGGTATATGTTGAGTAGTATTTCCTTGCACCGTAACTGCTTTACCCAGGGACCTGCTGTTGGACATTTGGGTTGTCCCTAATTCTTGGCCTTCATTTGGGTTGTCCCTAATTCTTGGTCTTCATGAATAAAACTGCTGCTAAAAAGGTAAGGAGGCCACATCTTCTGACCTCCTCTAACCACACGAGAGGAAGACAGAATCACCATCGGTAACCCAAGGCCTATTCCTGCAAGGCCAGACATGCTGCCTCCCTCCAGCCCTTTCACCAACTGTTCCTCCCAAAGCACCCACCACCTCTCTCCTGGGTTCAATAATTCGCTGCAATGGCCACACAGAACTCACAGATTACGGGGTTTATTAGGGAAGCACCAGGCTACAATTCAAGTTCAGGAAGAACGCTCAGTCTCTCTCTCCCAGCCCACCATCTCTCAGCCAACAGTCTCTCACAGTCTCTCTCCCAGCAGTGCGTGTCCCTCGTCTCGCTCAGCAATGTGCGTCTCTTGCATCTCTTTTCCAGCAGCACGTGTCTCTCAGGCACGCGTGTCTCTTTCAGCAGCACATCTTCCTCAACCAGCAGTCCGAGAGCCCTCTGCCTCTAGGAGGCCTCCTTTTGAGCCTGACAGAGTGGCCAAACTAGCCAATCATAACATCAGACCCAGGGAGGGACAGCTTGCCCTCAGGAAGAGTGTGGTTGAAAGTGGGTGATGCTGATGCAAAGATCTAGGGGACCTGCCTCGGTGTGACCTTAATGATTTACTGAAGATAGCCACAGGATGTCCAGTTTAATAAAGTTTGTCCTGGGATTGTCTTGTAGCCACCTTGTGGGTATGAGTCAGGACTGCATGGTCAGGAGTCATACCCTGACCACCATGTGGTCAGGTGGTCAAGCCCCAGAACCAATCCTGTAACCCTTGTTAATCTGCATTTGTGCATGTGCCCCAATCACGGTCCTTTCCCCCTTCTGTAGTCCCGCCTGTGACAGTGATGGATGGACCTCCCACCAATCATGATCCTGTGATGATTCCCTCTGTTCTCTGTCCTATATAATCAGCCCCATCACTGTCAGTCAGAGGACTGCATTCAGCTTCTGCACTGTGCACATGTTGATGGTTTCCCTCATCCTACATCAGAGCTTTGTTTTGTCTTTGTCCTGTCCAAGGCTTAATAAACAGGTCTCCACTGAACCTGTTTGACTCTGGAGTCTTTTTTCCCCTAGCGCAGTGGATACTGCCGACTGCTTCCTGAAAGTTGAGTGTTGTAGGGCAGATAAGACAACCTCTGAGGCAGTTCCACTCTGTCCTCTAGGGGAGCTGTGGGCCAGAATTGACTGCGCAGCAGTGGGTGTGGTTTGGGCTTTGCTTCTGTGAAGATTGACAGCCTGGGACACCCTGTGGTGCAGTTCCACTCTGTCCTCTAGGGGCGCTGTGGGTCAGAATGGACTCCACAGCAGTGGGTGTAGTTTGAGCTTTGCTTCTGTGAAGACTGACAGCCTTGGAAACGGGGGCAGTTCCACTCTGCCCCACCTTGTCTGGATGAGTCATATCAATGGGGTGGGGTTTTGTTGGTAGGAGAGCTGCAGCTTGGCTCCCAGATGAATATGTCCACTAGCACTTTGTCTGGACTGCTTTTGTGTTCTGATTTTATGTGTTTGTTGGCTCAATAATAAACTTGGTGAGTTCTTACACTTGGCATTGAGTGTGCAACTTTGGGTCTGGGTTTCTCGTTCTCTGCAGTACCCTCTTTGGCCTCTAGGGGGCACTGTGTCCACCTGGGCCAAGGAGCTGGAAGGCAGGCCCATGCTGGGCCCTATGCTTGTTCCTGTGGGGTGGGAGTAGGGAGGCTAGGCTAGCCACCCCCCGCCCCCCCAGAGCTGGGGTAGCTCCTTCTCTAGGGCACACGTGATTACAGATGGCCAGGCTAGGTGGGACCCTGACCATGTCAACAGGAGCTGGCTGAGTAGGTGTCAGGAATATCCCGGACCAAGGAGTCAGGGGGCAGAGTAGAGGGAACAGCATGTGCGGAGCCAAGCACCGGGCAGAGGCTGGCTGGTCTGCGGAGGCTGTGAGGGCTTGCGCTGAGGTCCAAAGGGTAGCAGGGCCCTGAAGGCCAGAGAACGTGATTTCCCCGCCAGTGGTGGGAAGTAGCAGGCTCCAGGGAGACCAGCAAAGGGGACTCACAGCACTGGGGCCCGCGAGGCTGCTCCCTAGCAGTCCACCGTCACAGTGGGGAACCGGGCCCACCAGGCCTGGCTCCCGAACTTTCTGCCCAAAGTTGCTCACATTCCTTCGGGTCACCAGCAACCGGGCAGAGCAAGTCACAGGGCCCGATCTGCTGCCAGGGGGTGGGGACCTAGACCCCTCCCACCCGGAGGCGCAGACCAGGCCCCAGCGTTGACGACCTGCTGGCTTAGACTGAAGTGGTGGGTGTCACGGGGTCCGGGAGAAGTCAGGGCTGGACAAGGCAGGCCGCAATGGGGCTGGGGCGGAAAAGCCCTGCCTGTGGCTCGGGCGTCCTGAACACGACACACTGGAGGTGGGGGTCAGGCTGAGAGTGCCATGGGTGTGGCAGGGTTACCATCCTGGGCACAGAAAAACTTCAGGGCCAGGCCGAGGCGTAGGTACAGATGGTCACGGGGCAAAACGGGCGTGGCTCCAGGTGGCCCCTTGCAATGGGCCCTGTGCCCAGCGGCGGCTGCGCCTGCAGGTTCACCGGGCCAGCGCACGGTCAAGACCCTAACCCAGGCGCCCCTCTTCCTGCGGAGCCGGCTCTGTCCGATCACTCATGCGTTCATTCGGCATTTACTCCGCATCTGCACCCACCAGGCGCTCCCTGGGAGTGGGAGACCCCTGTAGAGGCCCCCAACCCACAGCACACCCATGCACGCGCGCGGGGCGGTGGCACTTGGCTTGCGGCCGAGAGCCCTGGGGACAAAGAGCCCTCGTCCTGCCAACAGCGCCCTCCTCAGTCGCGGCGTGGCTCCGGC